CCAACGTGTTTCCTTTTCAGGTGCTGCTGCTGCATCATAACAGTGGGGCTTGCGTGCCATGTTCCTTTGTTTTTACAAAAGTTGCATGTTACGACTTTTTCGCTTTACAAAGCGCAGGCTATTTTAAATATTGTGATCAATTTGCGCCGTCAATTGCTTCATTTGCAATCCTGCGGCTCTGAATGCAGCGCTGACTCCTGCGGGAGAACAGGGTTGGGATGGGGGGAGGCGCCCCACGGCAATGACGACGGCGGCGTATGACGCATTAATCGCGCGACACAACTAATCGATGATGAAATTCGTTGCCAACGCTTTTAAAAGTCGATTTTTATCGATTCGTTGTTGCAGCCCTAGTCGCCTATGCTGAGGACCATCAGGTCTCTTCCAGTTCAGTTCAAACATCTTTATTGATCCTCAAGGGAAATGGTAACACGTAGCTTTTGTAGGTGTTGATGCTGAAGCAGGAAGGATTTCCTGTAGTGGTCTGTTTCTGGCCTCTGACTGAAGACACTTGGCTGGTGTTTGAGTCTGAGGCAGAGCTTTCCTCTGGAAACATCTCCTTGCTTCAGTTTGTTTTTGTTTTTTGCTCCACAGGATGAAGACGTGCGCATCATCGTCGGACAGTTTGAGGCCGGTTCTGTGACGGAGGTGTTCTGCTGTGTGAGTCCGACTCCGGGTTCCAGCTTCAGCCGCTTTCTCCTCTCTGTCCGACTCTGGTTGCTTCCGAACATCAGAACATAAACTTTGTTTTCTGTGTGACGCTCAGGCGTACAGGCTAAACCTGTTTGGACCTCGGTACCAGTGGATTCTAGCGGCTGGAGGAGCCTCTGGATGGATGCTGGGATGGAAACCCTCGGCTTGTTCTGCAGACAGTCTGATGATGGCTTCAGACGGATCCTTCAGGCTGCAGGTCCGACAGTTAGGAAACGCCAACACCCCTGGAGTCTCTGGACGGGTCAGAACCTTCTCTGCTCCAACGCTAAGGCCGTTTCTCAATGTAGGAACTTGTGCGTTCTTGTGTACTAGTGAAAAATCATCAGACAACCCCTAGATGTCACTCCAAAAGCGTTCAAAATCAATCCCCTGGACTTTGTTTCCAGGTTTGAAGATGTTTCTCTTCCATCCAGGAAGATTTTTCAGCTCAAAATGTCAGAAATAGCGTTTAGTTCCAGGTTTTATCCAGCAGCCCAACAAAGCCTGGTTATGGGTTAAAAAAACATCCCCGGATGTTGTTCTGGCCCCTCCCTCTTTACCCAGCATGCATCAGAGCAGACCTGCTCGTCTGCAGCAGCCAGGACTAACGTTAGCCCGTCTGCAGCAGCCAG